TACTAAGCTACGCACCCTAGTAAAAAAAAAAACAACTGTACTTTGTACTCCCTTATCTGTTTGCACTTCTCCCCAAAATTTGGTTTCAATCGGTCAATGCATGGCTATTTTAGAGAGTGTGACTGATGGACAGACGGAAGTTACAGAATTTTATATATAGATTACAGTGTTATAGAATTAGATTAGGTACAGGTACTGACAGTCTATGGCTTCTGGGTAAATATGAAGATACAAGGTACTTCAGCTTCACGTATAAGACACAAAGTATTGATATATTTATCTACTGTCTACTTGTATATTACTAAGAAATTGTTCTGCTGGTCTGACTGAATGAAAATTAGAACTTGTTAAATCAAACAATGGTACTGTAGTCGAAACCTAACAGAGCTACTCCTGGATTTATTTTATTTTTTAATCAGTTCACACAAAGCAAGTCAATAAAGCCACTAAGACTCAAAAGCTTAGTGAATGTGAAACAAAATAAGAAAAAGAAAAACATTTTCAAATCCTACTAACACCTTAAAACAAACTTTTCATGGGAATGATTTATTGAAAACGAATCTTTTTTAAAGTGTCTATTATCCAATGGAATCGAATGGTGATTTTTGAAGCAATCAACAACGCAGAGAATTGGTTTGTCTTTACAAACGACGCAAAAGCATCGTGTCTCATGCTGTCCTTTGTTTTTGTTTTTTTTATTTTTGCGCAAACACTACAGTGTATGCATGTTGTTTTTCTTAATTTTTATTGCCTTAGTTAAGGTTTGAATTGAGATTTGGTAATTGACCTCTAACAGTCAACGTGTGTGGCGAACGCGAGTCAGTACATACGAAAAAGAAGAGGTTCCGGGTTGCGTAAAGACATGTCTGTCGAAGCTAGTCGCATCCGTTTTTTTTCTCCGCAGCAGAATAGCTTGGCATTTCCACATACGAGCCTCTCTGCAACTTGTCCAGATCTGGGTTTTTCTCAACTGTCCCATGTCAATAAAAGTGACGGGAAAACCAGCAATTTGCATTTGGAGAGACTCGCTGTCATGTGAAGACGTTCCCTTTGGGCATTTTTTCCGGAAGTTGCGTTCCACCTGTAGTGCTGTGGTTTCTGAGGCAGTGACCTCTCTAGTTATTACACAGTTTTATTTTGTTTCCTCCCCTCACTTCCCCTTTTCTGCTGGCTACCCCGTAATTCTTAAGAGAACAATCGGTTAAGTGTTTCCCCAACACGCTTGCCTTATTTTGCAACAACGTGTTAAAATATATATGGTTCCTTGGTAGTTTTGAGTTCAATCCCTGTGTCTGGTTGCACTGAAATATTCAATGGAAGAAAACGGACAAACGACATACGTGGAATAAAACAGATGAGTACTGATATGAAATTTTCCCAAAGCATGGAAAGTGGAATGAGAAGAATCTACCCTGTGGGCTGAATAAAGAATTCCGTTCAGAATTACAAGAAGATTACCGAATACAACGACAAATACATAAGACGACAGATTCATTCATTATTATTACTTGAGTGTAAACATCTTAGAGTTTGTGCTGTAAATCAAGTGACAACAAGTTTCCTCAATACACCAGCACCCTGCTCAGTATTCGAGCCGCTTTTAGTAATCCTAAACAGTAAACAAAGGATAAACCTCTACCCACGCCTTTTAAACAGGATTAGTGGTTTATCTCTTGTTTCCTGTTTAAAATTGGGTTTCCAATTTCTTCTAATTTTTTTCATTCTCTTTCACTCCAAGTAGCTCCTCTTACGTCTTAGGGGCATTATCGCCTTACTTGGAGTGAAATTATTTTAAAATATGTTTTTGTCTTGTTTACTTTGAGTCTCCTTTGTATTTTCGCTTCTTCCAATATTTTACGGGATTCTTATATTCGATTATGTATTTCTTTTTAACGATTTTCTCCTCAAATTTTCTTAAGGCCAAGATGCATTTATCGAAAATAAAACACTTCATATTCACCGTTAATTGAGTGCATCATTCGCGTTTGCTTTCCATTTGACGAATTCCTCTTGCCCTGCTCTGCTCTCTCCGCCAATCCCGTTAAACTAATTTTTTCTATGTTCGTTTTGCATTTTGAAGAATCTTTATTCTGTTTTTTGTCCGCCCGAGTGCACAGCATCGCCTAAAAATGCGTTTATTTCCTCTCATTATTCGCTGTAATTGTTAAGAGTTTCATCCGCTGTAGTGTAATCTTCCGGCTGACTTCTACTCTTGTGATTAATACAGCTTTTCTTTTTATATTGTACTCATAAACCAAATGTGTTCAGATGGAACTTGCTGAAGAACAATTGACAAGTTTCTTCAGATCACCACCCTCTCCTCGATATTCTTGCTGAAATAATTCGTTCTCAGCTTCCCATTTCTTATTGGCAAGAGTGAAGAAAGTTGTATTCTTAAATTAATCATGTCAATGCTACATCTTAGAAATTTGAATAACTCAAAATTATTTCATCCTATTAAAGTATTCTTTATCAAAGGCATGCATGTTATAGTCCTGTAATTACTTGCCGGTGTCCTCTTTTTCGTAAATTCTGTTTCAACTGACAGATGCTGAGAATACCACGGGCTGAACACGTGAGCAACGACGAAGTTTTAGAGTAAATAGGGGAAAGGGACACTTATATTTAGCATCAGAAAATGACAATTGAAATTTATTTCACATAATGAGGGAGTAGAAACGTCAGGAATCTAAGTGAAATACTGTACCCTGTGTTGTCATGTTAACAGGTGTTCCCTAGTGGCTCTTCTGCTCTCAAATCCTATGGGAGCAAAAAACCTCTAAACTGGGACACTGGAAGTATGTCTGGTATCCCCTGCATTGAATATGGATGTGATGTCGCTTAATTATTACCAGACACCTTTGGTTACGATCATTAAGATCCCGTGGTCTGGGAATACCATGGACTGAACATGTGAGAAATGACGAAGTTTTAGAGAAAATGAAAACGAAATGGACACTTATAATGAACATCAGAAAGAGATTGTTGGAAATTCTAGATTACATAATAAGGAAAAGGAGCTTTAAAACTGACACTCACGGGGCTTATTAAAGGCAAGGAGGGCAAAGGAAAGCAGTGTATAACCTACCTAATGAACTTTCATAAATATTTGGCAGAACAAGGTTCAGGAAATATAGCAAAAAAGACCAAGTTTACTAAGAGCTACAAGGAGGAAATTGTGGAGAGCCAGAATCGCCCACTTAATGAAGAAGAAAATTTATTTTTACAATAATGTTCACTCTGTACAAGGCCCACAAGCTACTCGATGTAAAGAATTACAGATTAAAGAGCACCACCCCAAGCAAGGTGATAATGCTACCCACACGCAAAGAGGCAACCGGAAGTGAAAGAAAAATAAAAGACTTTAGAAGGAACCGGAAGGTCAATTTTAAACATAAAATAAGGGATAAATCTCTACCCCCTGCTCAAAAGATTGAGGAGGAGTGTGAGCCAGACGATAGGCGAACCTATCTACTTCTATTAAAGAAAAAAAAGTAAATAAATATTATATAAAAGTTGTTGCTTGCTTGCTTGATTTTGTTTAGCAGCATACCAACTTCTCTTTGCGTTATTTAATGCCGAAATCTAAATATTTTGATTGGTTTGGTTGGTTGATTTTGTTTAGCGGCATATCAACCTCTATGGGTTATTTAATGCCGAAATTTAAATATTTTGATCGGTTTGGTTGGTTGAAATTGTTTAGTGGCATATCAACCTCTATGGGTTATTTAATGTAGAAATTTAAATATTTTCAACTACAGATAAAATGTAGTGTTGGTCATTTTATTATAAATATGTATTGTTGGTCATTTTTTATATAATGATTTGTATGTATTTTTACTATAAAAATACATTTTTATACTTTCATAATGTTTTATTTTTGTTTGGGGGGGTCCACTATTTGCCCATAGCTGGAACTCTAGCGGGCGCTACCACCCAGGGTCACGGTGGACCTGGAGACAACAGCAATTGCATAGCATCCCTGTGTCTTTTCTATAAATATTTTCATGTCACTTGTTCTGATGAACTTTGATACCTAGACTTTATAAATTTAAGCGCAATCCTAGATTGGCGACAAGGTCTCATCATTTTACAATTGAAATGTCTTGAGGTAACTGCATATTTGATGCTGAAAGTTTCTTCTCTCACACTTCTCCCTTGTGGAACTCTTGTGTGAATTCTTGCTTTCCAATCAAGTTTGATCTTCAAAAGTTTAAATGCAATATCAATCATTATCTTCTGTCTTCTTAATTCCTGTTCTTTTATCGTTCTCTCTCCTTTTTTTTTCTCAAATTCTTTCAGACTCAATAATTTGCAAGCGTCTTAGTTGCTTTATTGCCTTACTTACGGTGAAATGATTAAAAAATAATTGCCATATACTCGGAATTTATGATTATGGAGACACTAACGGCAATTTCCAATGAACACCCCCATGTTGGTTTTGATTGGATACTCTGCTGTACGGTTGATTTAATTATTAAGTGACTGAATTGAATTCTTTTTTACGGTTTATCAACCTTTTGCTGGTTATTAAAAGCCATGAATTATTTTTACATTGTCAGAATTTTACATGATTTCCCCAAGTGTTATACTTACTCACACTTCTCTATCAGTCATCGTGATATGATGGTGACGATAAGATTTTTGTCAATATACCTGGTGATGGAAAAAGAGTGAGGGATATGGATTCGTGTCTTTCCCAAATACTAAGCGAATATAAGCAATTCCAACTGAATTCGAACCTCGATTTTTATTTCCGTACGACTAACAACTACACCATATCAAACCAAATCAAAGATGATGGCGGCGGGGAAGTGACGCAAATCCATCGACAGAGATGAATTAGAAATCCTTTTACAAGAATTTAATTTAAAATTTCTGCTTACTCTTATTAGCTTTTTCAATTATTGAAATCCTTTAAATTCTCATTCTTTTCCCGCTCCTCCATCGTAAACTTTTTTCTTCTACGTTTCTTGTTACTATGAGAACCATAACTAATCATGATGATGATGACGATTATTATTATTATTATTATTAAACTCTTTTCTTATTTTCATTTTTCTTTTCTTCCTTCTTCTCACGCGCGTTTCTTATTCTCTTTTTCTTTGTCCTTCTCCTTCTTACGCTCTTTTCTTATTTTTCTTTTCCTTTCCCTCTTGCTTCTCACGATCTTTTCTTACTTTCCTTTTCCTTTTCCTACCTTCTTCTCACGCTCTTTTATTGTTCATCTTTATCTTTTCCTCCTCCTTTTCACGCTCTTGTTTTCCTCTTCCGTTTCCTCCTCATTCTTCTCACACGATTTTCTTATTCTTCTTTTCCTTTCCCTCTTGCTTCTCACGATCTTTTCTTATTCTCCTTTTTCTTTTCCATCTTCTTTCCACGCTCTTTTCTTATTCTTCTTTTTCTTTTCACCCATTTTCCACGTTCTTTTCTTATCTCCTTTTCTTTTACCTCCTTCTGCTCATGCTCATTTTTATTCCCCTTTTCTTTTTCCTACCTTCTCACGCCTTTTCTTATTCTCCTTTACCTTTACCTCCTATTCTTATCACTCTCTTTTCTTTTTCTCGTTTTTCTTTTCCCTCTTCTTCCAACGCTCTTTTCTTATGCTTCTTTTCATCCTTCTTCTCACGTTCTTTTTCCCCTTTTCCTTTCCCTCTTTCTTTTCGCGCTCTTTCCTTTTCTTTTCTTCCTTCTTCCCACGCTCTTTTCTTATTCCCTTTTCCTTTTTGTCCTTAGTCTCACACACTTTTCTTATTCTCCTTTTCCTCTTTCTTCTCACACTCTTTTCTTATTCCCCTTTTTCTTTTTCGCCTTTTTCTCACGCTCATTTTTTTAATCTTTTTCTTTTCCTCCTCCTACTCACGCCCTTTTCTTATTCTCCTTTATCTTTTCCTCCTTCTCACGTTCCTTTTTCTTTTATTTTCTCGTACTCTTTTATTATTCACCTTCTTTTTCGTCTAAATTTAAATCTATCATTTTTTTTACTTCTCTTGTTATTTCCTACACCTCATTCTTGAAACAATGGTTCTCATACGATCAGCAAAATTAAGCAACATCGAGCCTTGTCAGTACCTAGATGGTTGACCGCTTGAGATTAGCAAGTGCTGTAAGTTTGAATGCGCGGCTGTGGAATGAATAACGGCTCAGAGAGTCAAGTTCCAAATCCAATCGGCTTTGTTATATTTACTTTCACGCAAATACCCTTCGGAAAGATATGAATCCATCTCGTCTCCCTCCAGCGCCGGGTTAATTAGAAGAATTTGTATCAGTAAATCATTATTATCTCAGAAAATTTCTCGCAATCTAAAAATATCTCCTGCCTTTAAATAACCTTATAAAGTTGATAAGCCGTAACAAAAAAAATCAATCAAAATCCTGGTACTATTTTTTTTATTCTTTTTTTTATATTATATATATATATATATATATATATATATATATATATATATATATATTGCTATGACTTCCGTTAGTCCGTCAGTCACACCCTCTAAAATAGCCATACACTGACCGACCGAAACCAAATTTTGGGAAGAAGTGCAAACAGACAAGGGAGTACAAAGTACGGTTGGCTTTTATTACGGTGAATACTTAGTACAAATATTTTCATTAAAGTCTTTAGAAAAATTTAAAGTTTTATTATCTAACATAAAAAATACTCCCACTATTTAAGAAAAAAAAACAATTTAATGATGAAAATAAATACTTACTTAATAAAAATGCAATATTAGTTTTTACATATCTTTTCTCCAAGTTTTTATATATACAAAAATCCAGTTTCCGGGTCGCTTCGCGTTTGCGAGAACTCTAAAGAAATCACAAGGCCAAATGCTTCGAAAAGTTGGAATTTGACCCCAGAAATAAATATTTATGTATGTCCAGGTGTATGTTGCATGTTCAAGAGTAAGAAACCCTAAGAATGTATTATTCGCAGTTAAAGTGGCAAAAAGAAATTTTCTCAAAAAATATTATTAACCATGAAGTCCTATAAAATTAAATTAAAAACATTATTGAACCGTAAAGTAGGGTTTTTTCAAAGTATTTTCCAAACAAATCAGCTTATTCAAATTTCATCGATTGGTTTACAAAATTGAACGAAACATACAGTTTGTAAATCTCGACAAAAATGTTAGCGATAACTTTCACAATATTAAATTATGTGAGGACTTCAACACGCGACTGCGTGTTGCAGAAAATTCTAGTTTCAGAAACTGTCAGGCAGTCTTGTATTTTGCTTTCGTAATATGTAAGAGCGAGGTAAAAAAAAAATTATTAGGACACTAAAAAGGAAATTTTTTTTAAAGCATATGTAAATATATACAAGACAAAATGAGAAGGAAGATCAAGATTATTTAATTTCCGTTTTAATTGCTGACAGATGAGGAGTTATTATTCCCACTGTTTACACGCGGACTAGTATCCTCATCTTTGTTATTGTTATCTCAACGTTTTGGCCATTGTTCCATCCAGTCTTCATTAGGTGTATGTGGATCCGGGTAACCTACATTTTTCTCCCATGTCCATGGATATCTCGTCTAGTTCTCATTTTTAGTACTGCTCGGTCATTGTTCGCCCTTTTTCCACAATCTAAATATACAGTGCTTGAACTAGGGATTGAACTAACAATTACTTTATCACAAAATTCACGAATATTTACGTTTTAATCTATTTCGCTAATATATTGTCTCACAGGACGAGACGAGATATCCTTATGGTATTTTGGAACTAGTTTGCTTTGTTCTTGGATGTAATGGATAGCTGCTCAGAAGGAGGAATCGGAGAACAGAGTTCGAATTCCAGTCAGGTTCGTTACATTCACTTGCATCCTTAGAAAATGTATGAATCAATCTCCTCTCCCACTTACGGATTAAATAGGACTTATATCTGGAACAGTCATTGTTAATGCAATATTCACACGGCAAAAAGGAATTATTCTTGAAATCCAAAAATGTTTCGACAGAGGGTTGATAAGCCGTAAAAGACAACTGGTCTCTTCTACCCAACCCGCTATATTCACCTGATCTTTCACCAACCGCTTGATACCTTTTTTTTAATCGCTGAAAACGCTTTGATGGGGAAATCTTCTCTAATGAAAACCATATTCGTCCGTCCTGGGTATAACGATAAACTAGATCCGCGTCCTGGGTAAAACGATAAATTACGACCAACAACAAGACCTGATCAGGAAGTTTTGAGGAGCATGGAACCACCTCTTAATTGCTGGTGTTCCAAGGTTCGCCCTGGCCCGGGATGGTAGCATCTATTAGGGTCCCAACTATGGGACCCTAACACGTGCTACTGAGGTCAAAAGACTATGAAAGTGTAAAAATAAGTTTTAATACCGGAAATACTTTTTTGTACAAAATTATTATCAGCAATAAATTTTTGGAAAAAAAATGTCAACAATAAAAATTTAGACGGCATTAAATAACCCATTGAGGTTGATATGCCGTAAAACAAAACAAACCAAACCCGATTCATCGATAACTTTTTCACATCAAAACCTGCGGTATTTTACTTAAAGATATCGAAAAGCTGCCTGATAAATACCAAGTACCCATGGTTAATTTTCAGTTTAGTACCCGGAATAAGTATAATATTCATTTTCTTGATTATTGCGCACGAAACACATACTTGATTGTGTGTACATAAATAGTTCTCTTGTACAGTAATTGAGATAAGTAAGATCAGTAAAAAAAAGAAGCTCGTTAACTACATTCTTCCGCGTTTAGCTTTCCGCAGCAAATGTATGCAAACAACACCAGTAATGACTGCCGCCAACAGCGCGAATGAATCCTAACTTTTACTGTCGATAACTCCAAATCGGTAGATTTTATCAAATTTATCAAGTCAGATTCGAATAAAGCATGTACAATTACACCTAAATGTAAGTATTCTGGAAATTTTTAATGCGAACTGAGCGCGGGTGCTAAACTGCAAATTAATCGTATACATTGCAAATAATGGTGAATATATAATTTAATAAAACCTAACTGAACTTTATTTTTGGAAGAATAAAATTGATAAAAAAATAGAAATTATTTGTGACTCAACCTAAATGATAGCAGGATGGTGGCTATAAAAATCGAAATCCGATGAAGGACGTGGAACAACTTAAATGCTGAAACAACTGGCCCTGATTGTTTTGTTTTTTTTTTTTTCAGTCCTCGCCACTACATCAAACTGTAAATATAGGTTTAGTTTAGGGTTTCCAGACATCCCTTTAAATACTGGACATATTACGTCTTGGATAACTTTGTCCCTGTCTACTACTGACCTTAACAATAATAGAACTGTTTGTTATTGTTAATTATAATATTTAAATTTAACTTAAAATATAAATATCGAGAAACAAAATCAATGTTTGTAAATGTAAAAAATACCTTCAATTTTGTCAGGTAAACTTAAATTTACTGGTTAATTAATATCAAATTCGAGAAAATTATCAGCTTCTTAATTTAAACTGAAATTGTTGAAGTGTAGCTATATTCAAGCATTATTCATTGCGTTTATTTGCCTCAAAGAAAGAGATGAAATTAGATATAACGTCAGTTTAATGCGGGGCCAACACACGTGTGTTATATGATGTAACAGCAAAAATAATCCATTGTATGAGGCCCACATATCAGTACAGTCTGTCGTACCTAGGGAAACCATTGCTGAATGACAGGAAGCAAAGGGGGATGAAAAAGTGTAATAGCGACCTCATTTATTCTGAAGTCTTATTTTTCATGTCATAAAAAATACATTTTTTTCTCAGTTTGATACAAATAACCCAAATGTAACGAGGGAACCAATGTTGCTAGAAGTTTACACAAAACTGACGATATTCAGTCACCCCTCCCCACCAAAGAGGGTGTCATGTGGCACAAGGCCTTTTTAACGTGGGCATTCCGAGCCCGTGGGCTCGGACAAAAATAACTCATTTGAACCCGTATAAACGGGTTCAGGGCCGGTTTTACCTCCCCGAAGGAGACTCCGCCCTTCGGCGTAGCCTCCTTCGGGTTCCTCTCCGTCCGTAGGAAGAGAGTTTAACCGAACAGTCGCTCAGAAAGTACTGACACTAAAAAAACTGACGTTTTTATTTCTCTGTTGTCGGTATTAAATAAATATTTTCAAATTATTTCACTTTTACAGAATTTCATTTTCGTAGCTTGTATTAAATAATTTTCAAATTGATTTTACTTTTATTTTCTTCATAGCCCATTAAAATCATTGCTTTATGTTTTTAAGTTATGTCTCTCTTTTTATATAATATATTAGCCTGGGTGCGTACGCATGTATAAATTTATTTATATAGAGAGAGATTTTAAAAGTGTCCAGTATGTCTAATTTTCTAATCTAGCAATCCTAGTTTAGTTAAAATTTTCATAGAAAAAAAATGTATTTTTGATGTCATGACTTCAAAATAAATGGGATATTAAATTAATAATTGAACAGTGAACACTATCATCTTTCCTGTCCTGTAATTTTTCAGTGTTTTTTGGGTTTTTTTTTTTTTTAAGTGATTCGGCTGACGACCCGCCGGCTGCAGTCAAACGTTATTACTGAAGCAGTATAAATTCTCAAGTCAAAAATTGGCGGGATTTTGTCATTCTCGCGCCATTAAACGTTGTCCGGAATCAAAATTGTTTCATTTAGAGATTTTTTCATTGATATTGAAATTTGACGGCAATTAATTAGGTGAGTTTTTTTTTGTTTTTCAATCCAAAGTAATTACGAATATTTCAGTATTCTTTTATTTGAAAATAATTTCTTGTGTTTTAAAGGTGAAAAAAAAATTATTTTCTCTTTCTTGGCGAATCATGATTAACTGATGATTTAATTTTATTTTTACTTGTGAAAATAATTAGACGAGTATCAAGCAGAGCACTATAGAATATAAAAAAATTAGGGGCTAAATCTGATGTTAAAAGTTGCGTGTAAATCAGTTATTAAATCTTAAAGATTCCTAATTCAATGTTTTTTTATTTGATCCACTCATAAAGAAAATTTTTTTCTCTTATCCTACTGTATT